AGTTTGCTCCCACACAGAAACATAAAGTGAAAAATAATAGATGATTTTTTTTAAATGATGATGAAATCAGATCAGACCTATTGTCTTGTTTAATCCCAGAGAGAGTCAAGTTGGGAGTTGATAATTTCTTTTTTTTTACAGAGGATCAGTTTAGTATGCATTAAGTAAAGATTTCAACAGTTTGCACCCCCATAGAAACACAAAGTGAAATATATTGTTTGAGTACTCGTTATAGCATTAAATCTCAATGCACAGCACATTAAGGACAGAGATCCTACATGAGGAGTAAGTGCACAGTGACTCCTGTTGTTGACTTTACCAATTGACACTCCTGTCTATGGCATCAGTAATCTCCCTATGCTCCAGTCATGAGTTTCCAAGGCTATGGAAGCCCTCTGAGTTCTCCGACTCTTATCTTGTTTAGACAATGTTTAGCAATGTTTTTAAAAATTATGTATCTTTATGTCAAGAAAACTATTGGTAAATTTAATTTTGCATTCTTAACTTTATTTCATAGATGCTTATTAAATGATTGGATAATATTCTACTCAGTGTGAAAAGTGAGAATTCACTCAACATTGATGGAGTAATGGCTATGTGCCAGGCAGTGTGCAATGTGCTCTATGCTTGCCTTATTTTATCCCCATAATGGTTTTATCTGATGAATATTGTTATGTCCCTTTTATATGAAAACATTGGGCCTTACTTAATTCATTCCAGCTTAGCAGACACTAGCAAGATCTGCTATGTTCTAGGCATCCTGATGAGGTCTAGGGATTCAAAGATGAATGGGACATACTTCTTCCTACTAGAAATTCAGAAAATGGTGGTGTGGTTTCTGATAATTTCAGTACAGTGTGCTGAGTGGAGTGATGTATGAAAGGAATACCAGTCCTGGGTTATGGTTGGTCAGAGCAGTTTTGCTAGACTGGTGTTTCTCAAACTTTTGTGTGCCTACGAACACCTGGGGTACTTCTTAAAATGCAGATTCCAATTTTACAGTCTTTGGTAGAGGCTGAGTCTTCTTTTTAATAAACTTCTGGATGATGCCAGTGCTGCTGGTGTACATACCTCACTTTGAATGGAAATATCCTAGAGGGTGTAGAATTTGGACAAATACCACTCACCTGAGTAGAAAAATAGGAGAAAGATATTCCAAATAGAGAGGGGAGTATGGGGAAAGTCATAGAATCATTTTAGACAGTGTGTTAAGTGGGTAAAGTATTTATAACCTATGGCAGGTATTGGCAAACTACAGCTTGCTGGCTAAGTCCAGCCCACAGCCTGTCTTTGAATGGCCCATGTGCTAAGAATAATTTTTCATTTCTCAAGGGCTGTAACAACCACCAAAAACCAAAAAGAAGAACCTGTGATGGAGATGCACAAAGCCTCCATATTTATTATTCAGCCCTTTGCAGTATAAGTTATAGAATCCCTAATCTGTGGTGTTAGTGGTGAGATGGGACATAATGGAAGACACATTAGAGAAGGTAGACTGAGGCATCCTCACTAAGGGATGCAAGGGAGTGTGGCTTTTATCTTTGCACTTGATCTCAGCCAAAGGCCGAGAAGTGATGTGGCTTTCATCTTTGAGGTGATGGGAAGCCAAGGAGGGCTTAGAGAAGAGGAACAACAGGCTCAGATTTTTTTTTTTTTAAGAAAAATCTCTGGCAGGGGCCAGTGTGGTCCATCAGGTTAAGTCACTGTCTGTGATGCTGGCATCCCATGTGGGCGCTGGTTGGAGTCCTGTCTGCTCCACTTCCAGTCCAGTCCAAGTGCTTGGGCTTCTGCCACTCATGTGGGAGACCCGAATGGAGGTACAGGCTCCTGGCTTCAGCCTGTCCCAGCCCCAGCCACTGTGGCTATCTGCTAGTGAACCAGCAGATGCAGGATCTCTCTTTTTGTGTCTCTGTCTCTGTCTCTTCCAATCTAAGTAACTTTGCATTTCAAATAAATAAAATAAATCTTGGGAGGGATCTCTGACAGAATATAGATAAAGGGGGGGGGCAATACTAGAGATAAGAGTACCAACTAGGAGGCCTAAAAAAAGGCAGATGGGGTTAGGAGGGGTGGATTTGAGAATTGCCTGCCTCGGACAAAAGTTTTCATCTTTTGATTTGCAACCCATATGAAGATAAACATTTCATGTCACAACCTAACACACATATAGACACATGTACACAAAGCAAAGTTATCACAAAACATTAATTGTCTCTGTTGTGGTTTTACTCAAATTAGTTTTCATTCCATTCCAGAAAATGTTAATTATTGCTCCCTAGGTTGATTCACAATGGATCATAACCCACAGTTTAAGAGCAGGATTTTGTCACTGGTTTGATGTCAAGGAGCAGAACAAGAAGCCTGGCATGGATGAATTTGTGAATGGTGTTCCGCCAAGTGAAATCAGTAATACCTGGGGAAGCCATTTGAGCAATGGAGTTGATTCATTTGTTTGTGGATACGTGGAGTTTGAGAGCACTGTAGATTGCACAGGCTTTCCAAAGATATGAGATAGCAACTTTTCACTCAGTATTACTGCTACCCTGTTTTGTTAAACTGCTGGTATCTCATTAGCAGTATTTTCTACCTGAGGATATAGTGTTTCAAGATTTAGTAAAGTTTTCCAGATCATATTGGGAATTTAACCACTGTTTACAACATTTTCACTGTTTTGATGGCAGAGGCAGCATAAGCTTAAATACTTTGCATACAAAGGAAATTTTGAAATTGGGGAATGATATATATATATTATTTTGATACATTTTAATGAAGTGCTTGTGTGTTCAGTAAGATTAATATTCTGGTGTATTGAAATATTTATCCAACAAAAGATAATCAGATCACATTAATGAGTTTGTATACAGTTTTATATGTGTAGTTTGCTGTATACAGCTGTACTATTAGAGAGTTATAGTTGGTGATTCCTTTCCTTATTCAAGACTCATATAGAATCAGTGACATTTTATCCATACTCTCTCCCTTACAATGGGAAATTCTTTAAAGATAAGCACTTTTGGACTGTAAAGAATATTTCCTAAGTTGACCATATCAGTGTAAATACATACTTAACCTGCATTAGGAAGTTTTTTTTGATCTAGAAAATAATTTATTAAAATGTTTTATATAGATTGAATACCTGCTTAAGAAACTTACAGAAGCAATGGGAGGAGGCTGGCAGCAAGAGCAGTTTGAACATTATAAAATCAACTTCGAAGACAGTAAAGATGGCCTTTCTGTGTGGGAACTCATTGAACTTATTGGAAATGGACAGTTTAGCAAAGGCATGGATCGACAGACGGTGTCTATGGCAATTAATGAAGTCTTCAATGAGCTTATATTAGATGTGTTGAAACAGGTAAGAATCCTTTAACACTGTATTTTGCTTGCTCTTTAGAACTTGTTGAGATAAAATAGTGTTACTGCTGCAAAGATGAGTATGAGTCATTCATACTAGTTAGCTATTTAGAACAAGAATTAAGTTTTTCATTTTCCCAGTCTTGCTATTTGGCTTTCGTTTTAAAGAACTACTGATGCAGTTTTGAAGCATTGTTAAGTATTTGGAAGTTACTATTTTGAAAGAACTATTTAAATAATCACATTTCCAAACTATAAAGTACCTTTGTGTCACGTACAGCCACATCCATTGGTCTGGAGAGATTCCCCCAGGCATGGTGTTGAGTGAGGAAAATAGGATCCTGCACAGTAGGTATCTTAGAATCCCTCTTAGGTAACTTCATGTACGTGTATAGTGCTGTTTGCAAGGATGGTTACCAAAATGTTCACGGGGATTACTTGTGCATTCTTCTTTATTCTTTTCTTATTATTAGATTGTTATTTTGTAAAGTTAAAAATACCCTGATTTTTAAAAGAAGGGGCCTTTATAGGACAGAGTTGATTTTGTCTTATTAGACTATTATCTTTGTTTTCTCAGCATCCAGTGTAGTATGTGATATGCATATAGTAGAAGCTGAATGCTTGTTTTCAGAATGTGTATTTGTTTGGATGGGTCTTTTAGACATCTTACGTTATTATGTTGAACTCTGACTCTTATTTGGGATAGCCTTACTTTATTCCTTTCTTGTTCAGTAGGTGATAGTCTTTGCTCTTTTTTCATAATGGAGTCCATCAGTAAACGTTAATTGAGGCTTAATTTATTTAGATGTTTGGAGCTACAAATAGGTGAGACATGATCTGTATCTGAAGAATACTTTTAGACCCATTAGGATAAGATGTATTATAGTAAGAGATCACTTTTGCTTAAATCTTCCAAAGGATAGTAAACAGAACAAATTATATGATTAGAATTTAATATCAAATATTCATGATATGTATAATTTATCATAGATTTTCAGTTTCTGTGTATTTAATATTACAAAGTCACCTATTATCAAAGAACCCTAAAGGATTTTGGCCTATTGTAATGTGTAATTTTGCTCAATTTAAAATTTGAATCACACATCTTTGGGGCTAATATATGGGGAGGAAGTAAAGGCTGAGAGTGAGCTTAGAAGCCAGACTCCTAATTCCTGTTGTGGTACTCTTCTGCAAGTCTGGAACAAAGTTCATCCTCCAGAATAGTGAGAGGTCAGTTAGAATGTTAAGTTGGAAAGGTTATATCTTCAGATCTTTGGTTAAGAAGATATATATACATGGACAAGCTGAAGCTTCATAGCATTTTATCAATTGAAGTTTTAATTTAGTAAAAATCATTGTCAGTTTTGTTTTTTAAATGAAATAGACTAACATGGCAAAGTTTCATATATCCGGCCTCAGTAACCGCCAAACACATCTCCAATCCTGCACCACTTACTTTAGCTTCGTTTGAAAATTTTTTTTCAAAGGCCTCACATGTTTGTTACTGAACCAACCCACTTGTCACAGCCCTAGTCAATCATGCCCAGCTGTCCCGACGATGGTGACATCTTCAGCTTGATGTGGTTAAGAAGATAGTGATGTTGATACAGCATAAACATATGTACCATCCATTCAAGTACAATTCCTTATAGACCCAGCATGGTTCTTCTCCATCGTCTCCTCTTGGAGTTATACCTGACTTTATTACCAGTTTTCACCCAAATCCATTGGGCAATGGGACGATTCTGTTTTTGTTTTTTGGCCAGGAATCTGTTGATTTTGAAGGTCTTGTGAGAAGATGTGGTGAGGAAGAGTCAGGTACACTCACCATGATGGCAGAGAAAAGGAGAAAGGAGGGTGTCAGTGGAAGGACGTGTTTAGAAGGCGCTACCATGGGGCAGCACTTAGGTGGTCTTCCTGTATGATTTTGAAGCAATCCAAGACTTTCCATTTTATCTATAAATATTCCAATAGAAGTCTCAAAAAGATAAAGAAATGTTAAGAATTCACATTGCTATTAGCATCAGGGATTCTCAGTCTGTTTTCTTTATATAATTTTGGGGAGGAGATTATCTCTGAGGTGTCTGAAATTGTATGCAATCTTTTGTTATGTTACAGTGCTTGCATGAATTTGGGTATAGTACTCTTGGCCTTTATAGTTTGAAAGGGTTCTTTATCTGTGATATGGGAAAGAACTGTGATATTCATATATTCAGACCCATGTGTCACATCATGGAGTAGACAAGAATATTAAAGAAATATCAGTTCTTAGAAATCAGAGGACAAACATTTATACCACATTTAATCTTTCATAGGGTTATATGATGAAAAAAGGCCATAGACGGAAAAACTGGACTGAACGCTGGTTTGTACTAAAACCCAACATAATGTCTTATTATGTGGGTGAGGATCTGAAAGATAAGAAAGGAGACATTTTCTTGGATGAAAATTGCTGTGTAGAGGTAAGGCTGCCCTTATGTCTTTTCATGATAACCCAATACTGCCCCCTGCTGTTGAAGTAGTTTCTCATCACACTTAATAGATTTGGAGCCTTAAAATAATTCTCAAGTTCACAGTTTCAAAATAATCACAGGTGGTACCGGCACTTGCGTAGCAGGTAAAGCCGCTGCCTGCAGTGCTGGCATCCCATATGGGCGCTGGTTCGAGTCCTGGCTGCTCCACTTCCAATTCTGCTCTCTGCTATGGGAAAGCAATAGAAAATGGCCCAAGTGCTTGGGCTCCTGAACCTGTGTGGCAGTCCCAGAAGAAAGCTCCTAGTTCCTGGCTTTGGATTGGCCCAGCTCCAGCTGTTGCAGGCATGTGGAGAGTGAACCAGCAGATAGAAGACCTCTCTCTCTAGCTGTAACTCTGCCTTTCAAATACTTAATAATAAATTTTTTAAAAATAATAATAGCAGGTTTGTTTCTGAACCAAAAATTAAAAATAGATGACAAAACGGTTTTTCTCATGTGAATTTATTTTCTTATACTTGAGAACAAAGTATAGAAACTAAATCTAACTTATTTGAACATTTATGGAGTCATCAAAAATAAAATAAAACAACAAAAAAACCTCAGTAGGGCAGTGTTTGAGACCATGAATGTAAGAAGAAAGAAGATTGAGCATAATCTGTGAATACTGTGAGTGACCTTCAGGATATTTTATTCACAGCTATTAAATCTTTGAAGTAAAGACCTCAAGAACATACATTTTGAGTTTTTTTTTTTATTTTGTATGTGAACTGTCACAGGATCTGTATTTGTTAAAGAACTTTAACATTCCTACGTTGTTACTCATAAACTCTAACATATTTTGATGAGTGAAATGATACAGACATATTAATGTCTTGGGGTATGAAATGCTCATGAAGGGGTCTTCTTAAATACAGCTAAACATGGAGAGCCACAAAATTGCCATAGGTCTTACTCAGGTTGCCAGCAACAGTTATCCCAGGTGCAAGGAGAAGAAACCAGGGAGGAGAGGCTGGCGCTGTGGTGCAGCAGATTAAAACCCCAACCTGCAGTGTCGGCATCCCATATGGGCACTGGTTCAAGTCCCGGTTGTTCCTATTCCGATCCAGCTCTCTGTTATAGCCTGGGAAAGCAGTAGAAGATGGCCCAAGGCCTTGGGCCCCTGCACTCATGTGGGAGATCTGGAAGAAGCTCCTGGATCCTGGTTCCAGATCAGCTCAGCTCTGGCCATTGAGGTCATTTGGGGAGTGAACCAGCAGAATGGAAGACCTCTCTCTCTCTGGCTCTGCCTCTCTCTGTAACTCTGTCTTTCAAATAAATAAAATAAATCTTTAAAAAAAATATCAGGGAGGTGTAGGAATGATCCTGGCTTAGATGCCTCATATCCTTTTTTTTTAAAGATTTTTTATTGGGGCCAGCACTGTGTTGTAGTGGGTAAAGCTGCTGCCTGCAATGCCAGCATCTTACATGGGTGCCAGTTCGAGTCCCGGCTGCTCCACTTCCGATCTAGCTCTCTGCTATGGCCTGGGAAAGAAGTAGACTATGGCCCAAGTCCTTGGACCCCTGCACCTGCATGGGAGACCCAGAAGAAGCTTCTGGCTCCTGGCTTCAGATTGGCACAGCTCTGGCCATTGTGGCCAAGTGAGGTGTGAACCAGTGGATGAAAGACCTCTCTCTCTCTCTGCCTCTCCTTCTCTTCTGTGTAACTCTGACAAAAATAAATAAAATATTTTTAAAAATTTATTTGTTTGGGCTGGTGCCACGGCTCAATAGGCTAATCCTCCACCTAGCGGCGCCGGCACACCGGGTTCTAGTCCTGGTCAGGGTGCCGGATTCTTTCCCGGTTGCCCCTCTTCCAGGCCAGCTCTCTGCTGTGGCCCGGGAAGGCAGTGGAGGATGACCCAAGTGCTTGGGCCCTGCACCCCATGGGAGACCAGGAGAAGCACCTGGCTCCTGCCTTCAGATCAGCGTGGTGTGCCGGCCGCAGCACGCCAGCCGTGGTGGCCATTGGAGGGTGAACCAACGGCAAAAGGAAGACCTTTCTCTCTGTCTCTCTCTCTCTCACTATCCACTCTGCCTGTCCAAAAAAAAATTTTTTTTATTTATTTGAAAGTCAGAGTTACACAGAAAAACAGAGAGTAAGTAAGAGTGAGAGGGAGCGAGCAAGCTTCCTTCTGCTGGTTCACTCCCTAAAGGGCCATAAACTGGGGCTGGGCCAGGCCGAAGTCAGGAGCCAGGAGACAAAAGCTTCATCCAGTTCTCCCACGTGGATGTAGGGGTCTAAGCACTTGGGCTACCTCTGATGCTTTCCCAGGCTGTTAGCAGGGAGCTGGATCAGAAGTGGAGCAGCCGGATCTCGAATCGGCACCGATATGGTATGCTGGCCTCTGAGATGGTGGCTTTACCACTACGCTGGCCCTGATGCTTTATATCTTACAGGAATCAGTGCCATTTTAAAAAAGGTTTATTTATTTTATTTAAAAAAATATTTATTTATTTATTATTTGAGAGGCTGAGTTACAGACAGACAGGGAGTGACAGAGAGAGAAGTCTTCCATTTGCTGGTTCACTCCCCAAATGGCCACAACAGCTGGAGCTGGGCTGATCCAAAGCCAGGAGCCAGGGGCTTCTTTTGGGTACCCCATGTGGTTTCAGGGACCTAAGCACTTGGGCCATCCTCTACTGCTTTCCTAGGCCATCATCAGGGAGCTGGATTAGAAGTGGAGCAGCTGGGACTCAAACTGGTGCCCATATGGGATGACAAGGCCACAGGTGGAGGCTTATCCTAATACATCACAGCACTGGCCCTTAAAGATTTACTTGTTTATTTGAAAGTCAGTGCTACAGAGCAAGGGGGTGGGGGGAGAGAAGGAGAGAGAGAGAGAGTGAGCTTTCATCCAGTGGTTCACTTCCAGAGTGGTTGCAGATGGACAGGACTGAGCCAGACCAAAGCCAAGAGCCAAGAGCTTCATATCGTTCTCTCATGTGGGTGGCAAGAGCCCAAACACTTGGACCATCTTCTGCTGCTTTTCCCAGGCTATTAGCAAAGAGCTAGATCAGAAGTGGAGCAGCCAGGTCTTGAACCAGTGCTCATATGGGATGCCAGCATCACAGGTGGCAGCTTTACCTGCTATGCCACAATGTCACCTCCACCCCAACCCCTAAACCTTTGTTTTTTAAGTTACAGTTACAGAGAGAAGGGGAGAGACAGAGATCTTCCATCTGCTGGTTTACTCCTCAAATGGCTGCAACAGCAGGAACCAGACTAGGCCTAAGCCAGGAGCTTTATCTGGGTCTCCTATGTGGGTGTCATTGTCCCAGCTACTTGGGCCATCTTCCAGGATGACTAGCAGGGAGCTGAATTAGAAGTGGAGCACTGGGGGGCTGGCGCTGTGGTGCAGTGGGTTAATCCTCCACCTGTGGTGCCAGCATCCCATATGGGCGCTGGTTCTAGTCCCGGCTGCTTCTCTTCTAATCCAGCTCTCTGCTGTGGCCCGGGAAGGCAGTGGAGGATGGCCTAAGTGCTTGGGCCCCTGCAGCCACATGGGAGACCATGAGGAAGCACGTGGCTCCTGGCTTCGGATCGGCCATTGGGGAGTGAACCAACGGATGGAAGACCTTTCTCTCTGTTTCTCCCTCTCACTGTCTGTAACTCTACCTCTCAAATAAATAAATAAAATCTTTTTTAAAAAAGTGGAGTACTGGGACTTTTTTTGTTTTAGATTTATTTATTTATTTGAAAGTCAGAGTTAGAGAGAGAGAGAGAGAGAGAGGTCTTCCATCTGCTGGTTCACTCTCCAGTTGGCTGCAATGACCTGAGCTGTGCCGATCCAAAGCCAGGAGCCAGGAGCTTCTGGGTCTTCCATGTGGGCCATCTTCTACTGCTTTTGCAGGCCATAGCAGAGAGCTGGATCGGAAGTGGAGCAGCTGGGACTTGAATCGGTGACCTTATGGGATGCTGGCGCTGCAGACAGCGGCTTTACCTTCCACGCCACAGTGCCAGCCCCAGTACTGGGACTTGAACTGGCACTCATAAAGTAGCCAGAGTCACAGGCTGTGGCTTAACCCTGTTGTGCCATAACACTGGCCTCAGGAATCAGTCCGTTTTAAATAATTCCATGAGTGTACCTTCCAGGGTTTCTGCAGAGGACAAGCTCAGGTACAAGAGTTGCTGTGTTCATGAAAGCCCAGAACATGGCATTATTGTCAGGCATTTGTAGCCTTTCCAGTCCAGGTAGAGTAAACTGGTCATGGGTCATTGCTACCATAAGGAATGTTGCTAGGGAACAACATTAGTAAACCAGAACTGGTAATGTACATTTGCAGGTATTTTTCACTGCTAT